ACCCTATTTATAAGAAATTTGATAATATAAATAAATAAAATAAAGAAATATAAGATATGTAATTGATTATTAATGTTCATTAATTATTAATGAAAAAGAAGGTTCTGGTGTCATCTAGGTTTCCGCGTAACCTTTACTTTTAAGATATCTGCCATTTCTCAGATATCTGGCATATATTATATTTCTGGCATATCGCGCAGAACTGGTGTATTTCACAGATCTGCCAGAATTGGCAGATATGGCAGATACTTGACATAGTAGATCAGGTGATTTATTCTGTTGTCATATGATTTGCAGTTGACTCTTCTATTACAATATCTTCTGCAGAGTTTTTGATCTTAAAGAATTTCACATTCTATAGGTATCCTAGAAAGTTTGACTTCTTGAACTGATAATGTATGTCTCTATTTTTTATTTACAATTACTTTACAAAATAATAGGAAAATTAAGATTGATGAACTAAAAGTGTAACATAATGTAGAATATCACATCAAATCCTAGATAAAGGAGGGGGATTGGACTGGATGATCCTCAGATGGATCAGATATCTGGTCAGTTAGCCTGTATAATTTATTAATTTCTTGATTTTTTACATTGAAATCTATATGATCCAAACTTTTAATTTTAAAAAAAAATTTTGGTTTAAAATTAATTTTTTTATTTGAAAAAATTTATTTAATATTATTTGTATTAGAAACTATCAACAGAAATGCATCATGAAAAAAAGATTATTAAATAAATATAAAATCATTTGTTTGATACTCCTCTTGTATATTAAATTTAAAAACCAAAGTTTTTTAATTTTTTTTGTTATTTGTATATTTTATATATATAGTAATTTTTTTAGTTATAAAGGATACTAAAAGTTAGGTGTGTTTCTATTGTAAATTCCTCTCAATAAAAGATAAATAAGAGCAAAATCTCATTATATGTATATTTGTGAACTTATCAGGCAATTTGTCTTTTTCGAATTTCTTTTTTCACTATTAAAATTAAACATTATACTTCAAAATCGTTTAATAAATTTTAATAAATAAATTAGCAATATATGATTATATCATTTTGAATAGGAATTCTAAACTCAGTAATTAATTTACAAAATTGCCTGTAAAAAAGTAATATATTTTTGAACAAAATTTTACATAATTCTCCAAAACAAAAGTTTGATGATCAAAAATAATAGCATATATAAATAGGAAAAAAAATAATAATTTATATAAGCGAAAGAGATAAAATAAATTCGATAGTATATTTTATTGATAAATGAAAATATCGACTCGTATAAAAAAATTACCTTACAATAATGACCTTCATTCAATAATATTATATGTCGTGCACCTTAAATGAAGAATCACAATCATTAAACTATTATTTATTTATTTTTTGTACGAATTAATGATTTCAGCAAACATTATTATTATATTTAGTAAATATTTTGTTCAAAAATGCAAAAAAAATTAAATTAACCTCTAAATTGGCAACGAAAAAATTTATTTTTTTGATCAAGAACTTTGTTAAAATTCCTTATTATTTTTCACGTATAAATATCATCATAGGTTATATTTTTTCTTTCAGCGACACAATGGAATTGATCACTCCATTTCCTTATTATTATCCAAAAAAAAAAACAAACTTATTAATTCGATCTTCACAATGTAAACAATTACTCTGATATTTCAAAATGCAGGAGGAAAAAAAAAGATATTTCTTAATATAGTAACCACCAATAACTATTATAGATCCACAGAACAAAGTATGCTTCTTGGTCATTTAAATACTTGCACTATATTGCTATTACTATTATATGCAAGTATCTCTATTTCTATTGTGAACTATATTAAGAATGCATTTCTAAATATTTCATAAACAAAAGTTTAGACAAACACAAAACTGGGAACATGTAACTTTATTTAGTCAAAAAGTTTTGAGCAAAATTTCCTATTGGCTGATTGGCCAACAACATTATTTGAAAATTTAACCAGAACCACTAAATCACTATTTTATCACTTTGTAAATCACTAGAAAATAATAACAAATGTATTACTAAAGTACGAAATCAAACAATTAAAATTATAAACAATAAAAATATTGCATAATTTTATATTAATTTACATTTTTCGAATACAAGAAATTCTTAATATGAAATGCAAATTATAAATAAGCATGTATCAGTGAAAAAATAATATAAATATTGAGGGGTAAAAAGTACTTGTAAAGATTCCTTTATCAAAATTGAAGAAATTTTGATCTATCAAATAAATTTTATTTTTATAAATAAAATATTAAAGGAAATATTGATTATTTTTCTTTCATAAGACATTATTATTTTTTTTTTGAAAAAAAAAGCAGTATAATATAACAAGGAATAATATATAGTATTTTTTTTTTTCTCTTGCTCTCTTGTTCTTTTCTTCATACAAAAGTAAACCTTTGTTTCACTTTTTCACTTGTAAAAATTGTTATATTTGTAAATTTTTTCCTTTTACTACATCTAATTTCCCTTCAATTTGTCCTTTAATTTACCCTTTTTAATTTAATTGATTGCAAAATACCAGTTAGAACCTTATCATTTAACATTAAAGCTCTTCTGTTAGAAATGATTAATAAGAAATGAAATTCAAATATTTCACAAATCTTATCACTGTCATCACTTTTACCCACGACACCCCTCTTCACATTGCATATTTTAATAAATGCAAATACAATATTAAAATATGAAATTAATATACAGCAATCAAATAATCTGATGCAAAGATCAGCTTCATTTTATGATTTATTAATGCAATATAATCATTACGCTTCTCAAACTTCTTTAGAAGAAGATCAATTAACGAATTCTAATGGATTTGCCAGCAGTTCTTCATTAAAAAATTTGGCATAAGAAGCTAATAGGTTACCAATATTATGTATTAAACTTCCAAATATTTCTATTGGAATAATTGGTGATTTATTACAGTTGTTATTTAATAATACTGAAATCAAAACGGATGATATCTTAGCTTCTACTTTGGCTTTAAATATTCAATTAACTTCTGATTTTTTTAGTTTATTAAATTTTATCACTTTATTGGATTTATTTGAACTTTATTGTAGCTAGGGTTCTGCAATTCGATTTGATATTTGAATATTTGATTTGATCAAATTCAAATTAAAAAATGATTTATTTGATCAAATCTTAATCAATGTTTGATTCGATTTGATCAAATTCAAATCAAAAAATGATTTATTTGATCAAATCCAAATCAATGTTTGATTCGATTCGATCAAATT